ACATATACTGGTGTGTGTAGAGTATCTTATATATAATGGAATATTTGTGGTTGTTGTTTAGTCATTGTAATTCACCATTTTAAAAAAGTGGAAATCCTGCCATGTTTTACAATATGGATGGACCCTGAGGGCTTTATACTAAGTGAAATAAGTCAGGCAGAGAAAGATAAATACTGTATGATATCATTTTTATATGAAATAAAAAAAACTGAACTCATGAAACAGAACAGAATGTTGGCTGCCAGAGGTGGGGGTACAGAGGTGCAAATGGGTGAAGACAGTTGAAAAGTATAAACTTCCAGGTATAAGATAAATAAGTCCTGGGAATGTAATGTACTGCATGGTGAGTACAGTTAATCTATTACATAAAGTTGCTGAGCAAGTATATCTTAAAGTTTTCATCACAAGTGAAAAACTGTAACAATGTATACTGATGAATGTTAACTGAACTTACTGTAGTGGTCATTTCACAATACACACATATATCAAATTGCTCTGTTGGACACCTAAAACTAATTTAATGTTATATGTCAATTAAATCTCAATTTTAAAATATAAATTAAAATAACTATAGAAAAAGAACATAGCAGTTGTTAGGGTTTGAGGATTGAGGAGACAGTTGGCTGCAAAGGAGAAGTGGGGGACTTGAGCAGTGATGAAATTGCTTTCCCCTTTTATTGTGATGGTGATTACATGACCTAAATGTACTGTCAAAACCCACTGAACTATATGGCCAAAAATGACTTCTCTATAAAATTTTTAAATTATATGCTTAAAAAGAGATACTGGGGCTGGGACTCTCTACCAACTACTTTTTCCTTTGTCAAATGGATCCTATTAGGTTTTGCCAATTGGAGGTCCTCAAAGGAGACAAGAAAGCTTGAAGAAGAAACTTGCTCCTTTCTATTTGATTTTGATCTTTGTCAATATCACCCACAGTTTCTTTACTCTGCCAGGGAAGCTGTTTCCTGTTTCCAATTTTACTTTGTTTTTCCACATTCCTAGAACAGTCTAGTTGCACCACTTCAGAGACGACCTCCCTTCTCAATGGTCTGAGAATTCTTCTTAGTTTCTAGATTCTAATTACCTGTCAGTTTCCCTATTCCTCCAGCCCTGTGGATAGTAACTGCTTCCTTTGGTTTTTAATCTCTGCACTATTTCTTGTTCTCTTTTTCCTCTTCAGTACTCTATTGCTTGCTTAATAATGTCTTGGAGTATTCTTTCTGTTAAAATTGCTGATGTGATTTCTGTTCTATGGATTAGAAATTGATTGAGAGAAAGCCCAGGTCTGTCCCATGCCCTACAAAATCCTTCATGATCCATCCTGCCCATTACATTTCTGACCTCATCTTTTGCTTTTCTTTCCCCTCACTCTGACTCACAAGAAATACAGTTGATAACAAAGTATGTTAAGCTTCACCACAGGGGTGTAGTGTCATCAAAATTCAGAGTATGGGAAACTCTATTGGACAAATAACTTAGTCTCTCCAACAAATAAATTGAAGAAGGGAAAAAAATAATCGAGGTGAAGCCTCTAGATGAGAAGTGCCTTAAAACATATTGACCAGCAGAAAAGTGAAGACCTTATTTGATTTATATTTATATAAACAATATGGGGCTTCCCCGGTGGCTCAGTGGTAAAAATTTCACCTGCAATGTAGGAGCCGCGGGAGACAGGTTCAAACTCTGGGTGGGGAAGATCCCCTGGAGGAGGGCATGGCAATCCACTCCAGTACTCTCACCTGGAGAATCCCCATGGACAGAGAAGCCAGGTGGGCTACAGTCTATAGGGTCGCAAAGAGTTGGACATGACCGAAGTGACTTAACACACATACATGCACACAATATATTCACACAATATATTCACATAATATATATAATTTCATATATGATTAATATATATAACATCATATATATCTATAAAGTAATTGAGAGATTTGAACGCTTGAGTTGTTAAATTGAATTTTGGTTTTATGTTTAAGAGTCAAACATTTGGAGATACAAGTGGAAATATTTATGGACATATTGGGATTGGGTGCTAGGAGAAGGTCTGGGGGAAGCAGATGGCTCATAGATGTAATATCATTGGCCACAAATTGATCACTGTTGAAGCCAAATGTCTTCATCGTTTCAAGCTAGTGTAACAAAATACCACAAACTGGGTGACTTATAAACAGTAAATATTTCTTACAGTTCTGGAAGCTGAGAAGTCCAAGACAGGGGCACTTGAAGATTCAATATCTGATGGGGAGCCCATTTCCTCATTCACAGCAAATTTCTTGCTGCAACCTCATATGTGGAAGGAGCAAAGATGTTCTCTCAGGCCTTATTTATAATGATACTAATCCCCTTCATGAGGGGCTATTCTTATGACTTAATCACCTCCCCAAGCCTCCACCTCCTAATAGCATCACTTTGGGGGTTAGGTTTCAAGATAAACATTTTGAGAAGGACACAAACATGCAGCCTATAGCACCAAGCAAAAGAAGGGATTCATTTTATTATATAAAGACTAGATTGTTTGTATGTTTTAAAATTTCTGTTTGTCTTCAAAAATCTGAGGGTCTATCTACCGTGTGAGGCAGTTAACTCAAAGAATGACTCACAGGCCTCTGGAAAATGTCAGGAGCTGTTGCTGAAAAGCATATACTGCAGTGGTTTCAACCATAAGCTCTGGAAATCAACACCTGTGTATGCCATGAGATAGTGGTTGCCTGTGTGACCTTGGACTTCATGTCTCCATGCCTCTGTTTCCCACATGTAGAGTGGAATTGATAATGGGGTCTAGCCCCATGGAGTCTTCCTGAAGATTAACTGAGTTAATAGCTACGAAGCACTATCTCAGAACATCATCTGGCTCATAGTAAGCACCCAAAATATGTCTATTATAATTATCATTATTACTATTATCATCAAATAGGAAGACATGTTAAAATGAACCAACAGGATCTTGAAACAAGTGTATCCAAAATATGTTTTTAATCTTAATGAAGTTCACAAATGGCATAATATTGACATTTCCTTAAACAAATTATACAATCACATTCTTGGACAATAAAGCATAGCATCACCATTACCATGTGTCCCCACAGGCCACAGAGGCAGCGACTGAATGTCCCCCTAAGAATTGGCAGAGATGCCATGGTCAAAAGAACATCTTTCAAAGACCCAATTTGCTACCAGATAAGCTAATGAGCGATGTCATCACATTTACTGCACATAGAATCAAATATAAAAAAGATGCACAACAAATATGGAATTAGCTTATTTTGCATTCAGTTTCATTCCTTTCAAGTGATAAAGGTGCTTTTTTCTGATATCTATTAGGATGCAAACATGTATATCTTCCATGGTACCTCCTCACCAAGTGGTTGTCAACAGAAATTAATAGAAGTGGTGAGTTCAGCTTCATGGTAACCTGAGGTGAAAAAAATAAATAAAATTAAAAAGAAGAAGAGGGGTAGGAAGAGGAAAAGAAGAAAAAGAAAGAGAAGTAGGAGAATAAGAAGGAAATAATCACAATTACTACTTAAAGAACACAAATTTATAGAAATGTTTCTTTAACTGAACTCTATTTACAAATTATGGATATGAGATATGAGAAAACTTTTATGGCAAATGATGAGAAAACAATTCAGGGGTCACTATTAATATTAGCAGTAGTATTACAGTTATGCCCTCTTGTCTGAATCTGTGAACATTGATCAATGTTGAAGGGCTTTCTGAAACTGGGTTCATTAATGATGTGTGACCCAGGTTAAGATTTGCAAGGCCCTCCCTTTCTGAGTTCAGCAAGCTATTTTTCTCTTCTGAGAAAGATGACACCTCATTTCTACAGCCTGTCCTGTGTGTGAGAGAGAGAATGTCAGTCCCTCAGTCATGTCCAACTCTTTGCAACCCCATGGACCCACCAGGCTCCTCTGTCTATAGAATTTTCTAGGCAAGAATACTGGATTGGGTAGCCATTTCCTTCTCCAGGGGATCTTCCCAACCCAGGGGCTGAACCTGGGTCTCTTGCATTGCAGGAGAATTCTTTACCATCTGAGCCACAGGGAAGCCTACCACCTGTCCTAGGGCTTGGGTTTTTAAACTAAGTTGTAGGAACCCACTAACTCAAGAGGAAAAATGTAATTGGAGAGAAGAGATCTGAACCCATGTCCAATGGGTTTCAAAATGTGAGTCCTAACCTCCAAATCCCTTCTCCTCCCATCTGACAGTACAAGGCAATCACCTTCCCAGAGTCATTTCTCTGCTCAGTCCTCAAGGTCCCTGCGGCGCCGGCCGAAGGCTTCAGAGCCCACATTGGTGGGCACGAAGTTGCTCTTCACCATGCCCCCAGATCTGCTGAGCAAGCCTGCCAGCCGATGGGTCACACAGGTGGCGGTGTTGCAAGACCTCTTCTGAGTGGTGATGCTGGTTTGCAGGATGGAGAAAGGGGAGAAGGCCTGTCAATGAGAGGCTGCGGCAGAAGCCTACCCCATCGGGCCTTCAGAAAGAGAGTTGTAGCTCTTCGACATATCACTTAAAAATAAGCATTTCTCCTAAATGCAATTATCAAGGCTGTTAGGGGAAATGACCTGGCAGCCTTTGCGAGAAGCCCTGCTTAAAAGTTTTCACAAAAAAATGCACTTATAGGCGATGTGACAAGTGCTAAAACCCTACACTTACCATCTCTTACATTCGCCCCACCCCAACACACAAGGACATATGAGGACATACCCCAGCCAAAAACACCAACAAAACCACTTTCCATGGAAAATGAAAATTTTCTTAAGTCTTACCTGGAAGAGGCTCAGAGCACCGGGTTTGCAGCATCCTCCCCCAGCAGTGCTTACCTGCTCCTCAGCACACCTGTTCTCATTGCAGGAGCTGGTTCACAGGACTCTCACCACACCCTGTATCCCACTTACCCTAAGGTGAAGGTTACTTTTAAGCATAGGCCCTGGGCACTCTCAGGCCTTGGATGGGGACCAGAGTAATGACCACCAAAGTGTCAATCCTTTTAGAAAATAGATTTATTCATCAGTGACGAGACATGAGGGATGATGCAGGAATTGGAGGACTCTGCCATGACACCCTTGGGATCTCAGAAACTTCCCTCACTCTCTCATCTCTAAACTTATCTGTGAGTCCTGCTGTCTTTCCTTCCATCCTGAGGTTCCTGGCATTCTTTGTCATAAGCAAAGCTACCAATACAAGCTTGAAGAGCAATCAGGGTGAAATCTGCATGCATTAATTTCATCCATGGGAACAAGAAAGGAAATCAGGAAGGAGTGGAAGGAGTTCAGTTGGCATCCTGGGGCACCCCAAAATGGGAGGAGTGGTCCCTCTCCAAGCCGTTGGCTACATCCCTTTTCTTGCCAGGTGTTTCAGGCCCGAAGCCCATGCCAGAGAATCTATGATAGTTGTTCAAGTCCTTCCAGTACGCGCTCAGCACACAGGTACTCAGATTACTGCACCGCTTAGCTCTGGAGCCGTCCAGGCTGCAGGGAAAAGACATGCCAGACAATACCATGCACCAGGGCTGCTCCTGGGGGCAGTCATGCAGAAGGTTAGACCAGGGAGGGGGCACTTGGAGCAGAGGTGGAAGGGGCAGGCAGGGGGCACAGCTCACACACCCTCCACTAGGAGAACTCAGAGGTTCGCTAAGCCAGGGCAGAGTGGGGCAGGGCTGCGGTGGGGAAGGGGTGACCTTTTCTGGCATTCCACATGCTGCTCAGCCCTTCCTGCCCTGCAGAGAGGTTCTCAGGGTGGATGCAAGTGCAATGCATGGCTCTGCTGGTGTGAACTCAAAGCTCAGGGTGCACAGGGAGGCGGGGATGGGGAAGGGTGTCTAGTCCAGTGAGAGCATGCACATGGCCACAGATTCTACACATCTGAAGGCCCCAGACCTGCCTCAGACCCTGCACAACCTGACCCCACCCTCTGCAAGGCCTTTGCGTTTACCTTGCAACTGTGCAATGAAGGTGCCTTGCAGGTGTGAAAGAACATACACAGGTTAAATTCCTTAGACATCCTGAGCTGTGACAGGCCCATCCCCTTGCTCCACACTTACCAGTCCTAACTCATCCAGCGTTGAGCATTCTCCTCAGTAGGGCAAGACCAATTCCTAGAATAAGTGCTTCCACATCTCCCCATCTCATTTCCTAACAGCTTTCAGGAGTTGATCTTTTCAATGTGTCTAACTAACCACAGTCACTCCAGCTGCATCTGGACCAACCACAGTCTTCCATGGAGGCTGAGAATGACTGGGTGCCAGGTCCCGGTGACAGGGACAACCTGCGGGACTCTGGCCGGATGTCGTTTTTCCTGCTTCTCTGGGCTGCACCCTCCTGAAGAGGCCAGGGCTGGGAGGGGAGACTTACCTGGAGTCCTCTGTCTCCTGCTCCTCTTCCTGCTCCAGCTCGTTGGTCTTCCTCTGGACATAGGCCTTCACCAGTGCGGCCAGCAGGAGGCGCCCTTCCTTCTCACTGAGTGCCCCAGGATCAGGGAGGGTCTCCAAAGCTGACCTGAAGAAAGGAAGCAACCCCCGCAAAGCGACTCTGAGCTCCTGCCTGCCTCCTTCCCAGGATAGGCACCCAGGCTACCCAGTCCCTGTGGCTTTCCCAGAGGACACGGCTCTCCTGACTCCCAGCCCACAGGGCTCAAAGCCAGTGTCCACCTAGGGGTGTTGATTCACTGGGAGCCTCCCACTGCTGTGACCTCAGAGGCAAAAAAACTGCCTGATCCCGGGTCAGTGGAAGGAGAATAAGTTTGTGGCTTCAGGCTGTCTCACCTGAGTGGTGTCGCCTGGAGACTGCCTGCCTGGCACAGGACCAAGATGCTGAAAGCCAGGAAGGGGGAGGATTTCCCGAAGCCCATGATGCCTCTCTGTAAAGGGAGATGACGTTACCACTGCACCAAGACCAAGCACCGTCTGGAGCCCACGGACCCAGGTTCCAGTCCGGCCACAGCTGCCTTGAGAATTCAGGCAGGTTACTTCACCTCCCCACGCCTCTTTTCAGTTCATTTGCCAGATAGACTGCTTTGAATCTCAAAATATACATTACGCCGAATAGTTTGGTAAGTAGAAATAGGTGTGCTGGGGTGGGGGTGGGGGGTTCTGGTTTTGTTCTGTGAAAAGCCAGGAAGAAGCCACACGCATGCACACGAAGCCACACCTTTTGCCCTCTGCAGAACCCAGCGAGGACCCACCCGTACTGTAGACAGTGCCTATCTTCTTAGGGACTGAGAAATCTGGGACCACTTCACCTTCGCTGGACTTCGCTGCCAAAGGGTGGGAGAGGGATTGCAGGAGGAGTAAATTGGAAAGGAGCGCTAACCTCTCAGTCTGTGGGTTTGGGTTTGGATTTGGGAGTAATTTAACGTGCAGGATCGTCCCTGGCCTCTGCCAGCGCATCCCGTCTCTGCTGAAATGCGGTTTAGCAGCAGGTGCTGGGCGCCAGCTCCCCGAGATGAGCTCCACGTTCTGGCCTCTGGCCGGCTGACTGCACTGCCCCAAGTCCGTGCCAATGCCCCAGGCACGCAAGAGAGCTGCAGACGCCTCAGAGAAGCTTCAGGGCTTAACCGGCCAGAGAACCAAACACGATCTCTCCTCGGGACTCAGACTGCTCAGGGCACTCCCAGACCAAACTCCAGCAGGATCCTGCATGCAAAGTACGGGGCACCAAGGCAGGGGACGAGGACCAGGGTAGGCTAGGAAGCTAGGGCTGGGCGCACGGAGCTTCCAGCGTCCAGGCGAAGCCCTAGGGATGCTTGCGGTTCCACTGGCGCTAGTTAGAAGAAAATGAGCTGCCAGCCACAACCTTCTGCCTTCTTCCCAGCGGGACAGGCAGCTAGGAGCACCTGGCTATAGGTGGGCCGGGACGGCCTTCAGAAGCAAAGGAGAGGCAAGCAGGCAAGCGGATGGAGCAAATTAGATGAACTATCCAGAGGCTGGTAATCAGACTGAGCAGCATGGGAAGTTCTCACCTGGCGACTGGAGTTTCAGGAGAGGGCGAGCGGCGGGTCCCGGGGACAGACACAACGCCTGCTGTGGGCGTCTTCTCTGCGGAGCGCTCGGTTCTTATGCGGGTGAGAGGGGGCGGGGAGGGCCCCAGGAGTCCGCACGGCCAATCCAAAGTGGCCGAGAGCGACCCAGCTCCGATTGCGTCACTGCCCGCGCTCCCACACCGGTCCACTAAGGGAGGGGAACCGTCCGCTCTGGCTGTCATTCGCAATGAGGTCATTGCTTGGGGAACCGGAGGGCTGGGAGGGAATGGAGGGCGTTCGACGTCCAGAAAGTGGGAGCAAACTGGGGGAGAGACTGGTGTAACTGACGGTGAGGGGCCAGAGTGCCTCTCACTTTCTCTGCGCCTGAACACCGACCTCGCACCCCCTCCACCCACTCCAGTAGGGACCCCGGCCGGGTCCCTCAGATTCTGAAGGGGTCTCAGGAGTAATAGTCCACGTTGGAGGCGGGGGGAGGGGGGGTGGTGAGAGGAATGGATCTTTGAAAAAGTAAGCTCTTTGGACCACATGGGGTGATGCGGTATATTGTTCCTCCCTACTCTCCGTCAACCGCCCGTCGAAGTAGTTTTGCTTCCAGTCAGGTAACCTGGCCTCTTTTGCCTCACTCCTCTGGGACAGAGGTGGGAGTGGAAGAGAGGACTGGGGAAGGGGCACTGCCTGCACAGAGAGCTAGACACCCCTCTTGTACTCCCGAGTTCTCGAATTCTCAACTGCAAGTTCAGCATCCCCCACTCTCACCGCGGATCTGCACCGCGGCGCTGGAGTTGGTTTACACAGCTGTCCCACTCATCTGCCTTGTTTGCCAAGCTTCTGAGCCAGGACGCCTGTGTCCGGGTTTCTGCCTGTCCCGCCCCACCTTCCTGAAGCGCTCGACTGCAGAACTGGCCGGGGTCAGCGTCCACCCACGGGTGCTGCAAGCCCAAAGGGCAACCTTCGGACACAGAGGTTCGAAGCCCCAGGCTGGCAGTGCGCGCACTCACGCCTCCGTCAAACTGCACTCAGCACTCAGCTCCCAGGACCCCAGACACACGCTCTACTTGCGCACTCACACACGGACGCTCCGCAGACCGCCCGCACTCACTGCAATAGACGCGCCCTCACCGGCTGTTCGCTAAGGAAGGAGCGCGCATCCACCCAACCCTACCTCGACCTGATCTAAAAGTAACACCTCGAGTTTCTGCTTTCGGAAACAGGCACGTTTTACGTACACAGGGGTACGCGTTGTCCCCACCCCGCCCCCAGCACGCAGATAGACACACGCGCCAGGTGGAAAGGTGCGGCTGGGAGCTGACTGTATCTGCCTTTCCCTTTTTCCTTAAGGAAAAGCCGGGTCTGGAGTCTCTGGCGGGCACCAGAGACGCGCGGGCGCAGCGAGAAGATCCCGGCTGTGGAGCGGTCGCCTAGGGACTGGGGGGAGAGGCAGCAAGGCACCCACCTTCAGAGCCTCAGGCTAGCCCCGCACCACGTGGTCGCGGCGACACCAGACGCGCCCGCCGGGCCCTCCTGAGCTCGCGAAGCCTCTCAGCAAACCTCGCCCAGAGGTGCGGGGCCGGGAGCGAAGTCAAAGGCTCGTCGAAGGCCCGCAACTGGTGACCACCGCTTCTGCGGGTCAAGAAGGAGCACCGGGGACGTCTGTCTAGACCCTCCAGGTTTTCTGTGACAGAACGCTGCTTGCGGGCACCAGGCAGGTTGCCCTCCAACACCTTGGCAATCGAAACTCCCAAACAGGTCCTCCAAACAGGGCGATTCTTGCCGGGCCTGCTGTGCCGGCGGGAGGAGGCACAGGGCGCAGGATCCAGAGTCCTCCCTGCTCCCGGGGAGGCTGCGCGGCGGGGAGAAGGTGGCCGGGGGCTGATCCGGAGGGACTGTCTCTCTGCGCCCCAGTTCTTGGGCTCGCTTTCGGATGCAACCGGTGACACCGAAGCGGCCTTTTACTTGGGGGCTCTTCTGCAAATGTGAGGAGACACTTCTGCGTCCCTTTCGGGGATTCTGGCCTGGGAAAGGGGCTGCCAGGTGGCCCGGGGCCGCTGGGAGCTGAGTATATCTGCCCACCTCCCCGCTTCATCCCGGACCACTGAGGTCTGGCAGAGTGCAGCCTGCCCAGCAGCCCCGCTCCCCAGAGTGGTCCAGCGCAGGGGACGGGAAAAGACCCGGAAGCCCCCGACCTTGGAGCCCCGACTCTCTAGCCTCCACCAAGCTCGCTACCTGTGGCGAGCTGAGCCGGAGAAGCCCGCAGAGAGCGCAGGAGGAATTGGGCTTGGGGTTCTGCCTCCCTAGACGCCCCAAAATATGAATTTAGGAAAACTTTGAACTCTTAGGGTTAAAGGCTGAGAAGTTGGCATCCTCTCCAGAGACGGTGTCACTCGGACTTCCCTGAAGTGTTAGGACCCACAGCCATGAGGCCGCCATGAACACAATACAGTCCCTGGGGCGCCCTCCATTCCGCATGCGGTGGGTGACCCAGAACCAGAGCAGAGTTCCTGCCTGGGTGAAGTCGGTGAAAGATTCTGTAAAAGCCGTGGAGACGCGAATCCCTGCGCTCTGACAAGAAAGGGGCCTGCGCACCCTACCCGCAGGCCCATCTTGTCACAAGTAGCCCGGGTTCCGCGCTTTCAGTGTCTGGTTGGGTACCCAGAATTATTTACCCTAATCTTCCTCCACTAGTGTCTTTGCACAGTGTTTGGAGCATAGTAGGTGCACAGCAAAAGTTCGGTGACAGGGGAGCCAACGAGGGGATGAATGAATGAACAGTCCCAAGGGTTCATTACAGTAAGAGTCAGCAGGAAACTCGCAGCCAAGTTGAACGGCACCCAATTTAGATCCATTAGATGGAAAAGCAAATTGTTGATCCAAAGAGGTACCTCTTTTTATTTAATGAGAGGAATCCTGATGCCCTGGTGGAAACTTTCTGGAATATAACGTGAGAGGAACGGCTTCTCTTCCGAGCTCCAGCTTGAAAAGCAAAATAAGGCATGTTCCCTCAACCCATCCTTTATTATATTTGTGAGTGAATGGAAGAAAAAGTCAATAAAATGCCTTGCTTTCTAAATCGAGAAAATTACATTTTGATTTTCCTGGAACTGTTCTGAGCTTCAAGGCATCCCAATCAAACCAACTAGCATGAGGATTTACAGCGAATGGTTTCCCAGGAATAATCTTTTGCTCTTAAATTGTCTCAAATATTTCCATGCTCAGTTTAACTATTTTATGTAATTATTTTTTACATTTTGAAAATGATAGTCATTAATTTTTAGAGAGAAACAGATTCCATGTATTATAGCCTTTGAAGTTTATTTTTATTTGCTTTAACTTACTGTCTGTTTTCTTCACAAATTTCTTTGGAGAAATATCCCTTAAGGGAAAGTCTTATTCATGCAACAAATACGGAGAACCTACTGTGTGCCAGGCATTGTTACAGGCAGTAGCAATTCACAGTGAACAAAAAAAAAACCCTGCCATCCTGATGCTTATATTACAGTGATGTATTTAACAGGAGTCCTTGTATATCACCTTCCACCCAAATGAAACACATACATATATATCCCCACCCAGGAATTGAACTGGGGTCTCCTGCATTGCAGGTGGACTCTTAACCAACTGAGCTGTGAGGGAAGCCCATATTCCACTCACATCCTCACAATATAGTAATATCATCTATCTGTCAAACAGATATTAAGACAATGTACGGACTAACTGAGCTACATAGTGTACTTTGATTACAGTTTCTTGCATGTTTTACTTTTAGTTAGTAATTTCCTCTCTTCACTTGTCTAATTTTCTTTCTGCCATCACCTGTTTATTCATTTTCCAGTGTCACATTTGTCCCTCATTCTTGGTTTACTACCTCACTTTGGTGGAGCAAACTCACCATTATATGATAGATTTTCCAGAAATTGTGAAAGCATTCTCTACTTGTCTCCTATTTCCAGTGTGACTGTTGAGAAATCCATTTCCTTTTTTTTTTTTTTTAATAGGACCTCTCTCTCTCTCTCTCTTTCTCTCTCCCCTCTTCTCTCCCTCTCCCTCCCTCTGTTCCAGTCTTCTAAAATACCATGATGTGTCTTGGTGTAAGCTATTTTTATTTATTGTTCTAAGCACTAGAACAACACTTGCAATAAGAAAATTCATGTTCTTCAATTTAGGGATATTTTCTTTTTTTTATTTCTTTGATAATTTCATCTTTTTGTTGTTTTTGTTCAACTTTCTGAGATACTTTTTTTAAAAAATTTACATTGTTTTTAAATTCTTTTGTTCATAGTTTTAACTTGCAATAACTTTTTCAAAATCCTGTTACTTTTTACATCCTCCTGTTTTTATTTAAAGGGTACAACATCTTCCTCTAGCTCTCTGCAGCTGTTAAATACAGGTTATTTGTTTTGTTTTTCTCACTTTAGAGATTACCCTCATATTTCTAGTTCTCCCTAGCTGCTGATTTATAAGTAAGAGGGAGGTAGTAACATGCTATTCAGAAGATGAGAATGGCAGAATTGTCCATCAGTAGACCTGAATATAATAAAATGATTAGATAAGAAGCAACCTTGCCTTTCTATTGGGGGAGGGATGCTAAACTAAGAATAACTTCTAAGTCTTTCCTCTTGGCTTTTTATCTCCTAAGAGGATTCCTGCAAGGATTACTGGGATGGGGGTTTGGGGGATACAGTACCAAGTGATGAGCAATGGAGAAGGAGGCTGAGAGCTTTATCATTCATTATTATAATCCTCCAGTCTCTTCTGGGGCCCAGTCATCTAACTACATAGGATACATAAAAAAATTGTGGGTCTAACTACTCCTTTTAGAAGCTTGCAATTACTCCAGTTTTCAACCCAGTCTACACCACCACCAATAGAGGCAACCAGTTGCTCAGAGCCCAGAGCTTGTCTGGAGTCCTTGCTTCTTGATGGCTTTCCCTGCCCTACTAGAGTAGTTTGCACTAGAAATGTATGTCACTACACAGCTTTCTCTTCCGCTAAACCAGGTAAGAAGACTGGTTGAAGGGTAGGAGATACAGTCTTTGCAGAGCC